CATGTCCGCGCCGCCAGTGCGGGGTTTTGGACTCTAGCGCCCCCGGATCCTCCTCCAAGGAACGGGGCGACCCATATGGGGCCGTGAGGCCCCTCCGAACGGGGGTTTCTCCTGGAGTCTCAGCGCCCGACGCCAGTCAGGCCGAGACACCCCCCCCCGCAGCCTGTGCAGGTGGTACAGTCCTCCCCGGTCCGCGGCGCGGCCAGCCCCTTAAAGGGACAGCAGCATAAAGGACGGGGATCGGGAGGCAATAAAGGAGGTGGTATTCCCCCACTCAGCCACGAGGAGGTGCTGTGGGGCCCCGCGGCCTGGCTTTGGGGGCAGCGGCGGATCTGGCTCTGCACCCGAGTGTCGCCCCGGCCGGGGGGCCCCTTTGTGTGGAAAGGGGGACGGTGACCAGAGCCGATCTCCAGACTCCCAGGACAGTAGACCCCTGTGGATCGGGGCTCCCCTCCCCCGTCCAGGGTCTGAAGGGGAGCCCCGCCCCCTGCTTGCCTGGGGAAGGGGGCCAAGCGCCCGCCTCTTAGTCCTTTCTGGGCTGGGCTGAGGCCGTGGTTGTCTTGGCAACATGAGCAGTGGGTCTCAGCTTGGCCGGCGGGTTGAGGGCCTGTAAGGCCAGCGGGCCCTCGGGATAGGGCACCCCCTTCCAGCGACATGCATCAGGGACGGGCCAGCCCCTGGACCCCCGTCCCCTTCTGCCCAGTCTCGGAGGATGAGGGTGGGGGGCTGTGGGAGCCCCCAAGGCTTCCTTTCAACCCTGAGGCGGCGGCGGCCACCCTTGCAGAAGGTCCTGGTGGGATCGCAGAGAACACTGGCCCGGCCAGAGGGGCGCCCTAGGCCTCCACCCGGTATCCTGAGCCCATCTCCCCGCAAACCCCTTCCGCTGGGCAGCGGGCTTGCAGCTGGACTGGAGCAAGACCCCCTGGCCTCTTGCTAGATCCGCTCCCCGTGCCGTGCTCAGCTCCCGGAAGGGCCGGGGTCGCACCACCAGCCCATTCCCCGCTCGCAAGCCGGGGAGAGGGAGGGAACACAGCTGAGAGCGCACCAATGCGGGGTGCAGACCAGCCGTCTGCGCGGGGCTCACCTGTATGGGAGTCCTCCGCTCCGTAGGTTAGAGCCTCTCCAGTCCAGCGACTCGCGCCAGCTGCTGCCCAGTGGGCAGCCCGCCGGCGACTTGATAAACCCCATCCCCTCCTACTCCTCCCGCCTCCCACCCCAGCCCTCTCTCCTCACTTCCTGCTGCCCCTTAGAGGAAAGGGCCAGGAATGGCGGGGGGAGGGGCCGCTTTGACCCTGTTTCCCTAGGGTCTGCCCTGCTGGCTGACTGTCCTCCCCACCCTTCCCCCCTGGGTCCTGCCCAGGCCGACCCGGCCCAGTGACAGGAAGGCTGTGGGATCCCATCAGGTGCCAGCCTCCCCCAGGCCGGAAGCTTCCTTAACACTGAACGCTCTTCTCCCCAACTTTCTCCTGAGGTTGAGACCATCCTAAGATCCAGTAGAGTGCAAGGGCCCTGGTGTTGGGGGTTTGGGGAGTCAGACTACTCGGGGGATGCTTGGCTGATGGTTCCCCTAAGCAGGTGGTGAAGGGAAGGGGGTGTCTGGGAAGGGATTGGGAGAAATTCCAGGAGCTGAGTCAATCTTTTCCACTGAGAGCGGAAGTATCCTCAGTTTGACGAATAGACAATATGCTGATGTGTGTGACTGTGGCGGGTGGTGGGGGCAGGGGCTGGGAGCGGCCTGCAGGGTGTTCTCCTGCTGGAGGACATTCCTGGGTGATATCCTGACTCCTCCTTGCAACCTGTGGGAAGTAGGTGCCCATGTGTGGCTGGCCCCAGGAGGGCCCCAGCGAGGGTGGAAAAATGTACACCCCCTCAGATCACTTTGAACGTACCCCCTCCCCCAGCCTTTACCCTGCTGGCCCACTTCCCTGATGCCCAGGCCTCTTTCCTAACAGAGGCTGTGAAATTGGACGTCTGGGGGAAGTGGGCACATACCCTGGAGTCTGCCCCTGAGGACCAAGGAGCCCAAGACGTGGCATGGGAGGGTGGCGTCCCTATACCACCACGCTGGCTCCACAAGGGACACTGGCTTGGAAAGCTTCAAGGGTGGAGGCCCAGGGGAAACAAAGACCAGGCCAGGCTGTCCCAGGGTAGGGACACTTCCTCAGGCGGCAGCAGGAAGGAAGTGAGCACAGCACAGCCCAGCGGGAGGGTGTGGGGAAGCAGTGACCTGACCCCCATTGTTTACGGCTCTGGGGTCAGCTGGGGCCCAGCACAGTGAGTTCTCCCACACTGGGACGGTGATGCTAGGAGATGGGGTGCCATCTGGCCAGGCAGAACCCTGTGCCTGGGGCAGTCAGTAGGCGGGACAGCAGATGACCAGACCTTGTCTGCTATCTTATTGGGAAAATGGGCAGATGCCCAAAGAACTGTAAGTCCAGGTTGCAGTGGGATCCTGCCAAGTGTGACCTCCAGAAGGTGAGCAGGCCAACTCCCCAGACCCAGAAGCCTGTGTGCTTGAACGCCCTCCTCCCTCACCAGGCGCTGGGCTGATGGCTAAGGGCTGGGCAGAGCAGTGAACGGGCCTCACAGCAGGCCCTGAGAGACAGGCGGAATGTCCACAGGGGGCAGGGGGCAGGGGGCAGGTCAGACGGCGGGTGGCAGGGAACAGGACTGGGCGCTGAGCTTTGCTGGAACAGAGGCCCCAAGGCCTCTCTCCTGGTGGGACCCACAGGCAGCCCAGGAGGAGGCAGGTGGACTTGGAAGGCAGAGCCTGGAAGGAGACCAAGGGTGTGGTGCCACCCATCTGGCTGCTGTCCACTTAAGGCTGGCCTTGGAGGCCCATAGGGTTTCGGCTGTGGCTCCATGTAGGGTCAGCTGGCACTGCTGACCTATATGAGGTCACATCCTCACCTCAGGATAGGCCAATCCCTAAGGAAGTCTCCCAAGACCTTTCAATTCCAGGGATACCATCTACTGAAAGCAATATAGGAGTGGCCCTCCATCCTGAGGGATCCTGGGGTAAGGTCTGTGTGAGTACACTGCCACCTCCTGGTCATGGCTGGGATGGCTGCAGACCGGGTTCAGGCTTGCCTCTGGCCTTGCTATAGATGGGGGGCCAGCGTCCTGGGCCCAGGCCTACCCACTGAGCCCAGGCGGCGGTCTAGATGCTGGGTGTCACAGCCCCAAGGATGCCACTCTTGTCTTCAGGGTCTACAAATAATTTTATTGAAACTGAACCAGTAACACAACAGCCTTCCTAGATTGGGGGCCACCCTCCCCACACCACTTCCCATACTCTGGAAGCACAGAGCTTGCACAGTAAGGAATTAAAAAAAAAAGTCATTTCTATGTAGAAATCAGACTCTGCCCCAACAATGTCATGGACTAGACTATTTACAAACTTTCACATTTTACACCTTTTATGGTTGTTCTCTCTGTCCCTACCCAGGGGCTCCAATACTTTCCCCTGATTGATCCTGAAGGGATGGGCACACTATAGGGGAAGGGGTGGTGGGCTCGGAGCTATTGGCACCACAGGGTGGTGTCTTCCCAATGTGTGTGTGGGGACTGGTGCAAAAGGCAAGGGAGATCACATGGAGTAGGTGGGTGGGAGCACCGGCATCCAGAGCCCTTCCTGATCCCATCCTATGCCTTCTCAACTGCGGGGAGGGGAAGGACGACTCCAGGGGCAACTAGTTGCAGTGGGGAGGGGTCAGCCCAGCCCTGGGCAGAGGGAGAAGCCTCCACACCAGCCCCTCCTCCTGTTAACAGCCAGGAAACTGTCCCTCCGTCTGGGGTGGGAACACAGGGCAGGTAGGTAGGAGGAATCAGGATTGTGTTGCCCCAGCCTCTGTCCAACAGAGGAGGAATCGAGGTAGCAAATGGCTGAAATGCTCCAACGAACGGGTAGAGGAAGTGAGGGAAGGGGAGTCCCCACTTGTGTACAGCTCCCGCAGCCCAGGGGCTGGAAGAAAGACCTTACTTGTAAAGTGCTGTAGCCCCAGTAGGGTTGGGACCCAGGCAAGCTTGGAAGCAAGCAGGCCAAGCCAGGGCACAGGAACCAGGCAGCCCCGATCAGCACATGCCCTGCCAGGCCCCTTATCGGCACTGCCGGGGAAGGCAGGCTGGTAACTCCGCTGTCAGCCCTTACCAGCCACCTCTCATCCGAAGACAAACCAGCACCCAACCAACACTGCAGGGCTGCCCGGCTCCCAGCGGCAGCGTCCAGGCCCATGGAGTTTAATCAGGACAGTGGCTTCCGCCTAGGTCCTCAGTGGAAGCCACACCTTGAGCCTGAGGGTTCCTTGCTGAGGCAGGAGGTGCTTAGGCCTGAAACCCCCCAGGCTCACACCTCATAGAGGATCACAGGGAAATCCACGTGGATGCGGGGGGTGTCCAGCTTCACGGTGCCCTGCCATGGAAACAGGGGCTGGTGAGGGTCCTCTCGGGGCCCCTACTCCAGGAAGCCTTCCTGCTCCTCCCAGCTCCTCCCCCAGAGCCCCCACCATGACCGCAGACCCCGTCTGGGTCTACCTCACACACTCAGCATCAGCTCCATGACCACTGCCCAGCCCCTCACCTGAGGAATCAGGTTCTTATGCACCCGCCTCAGCTTGGCCCGCTTCTGCCCGTTCTTGGTGACGATCGTCTCCTCATAGAATTCGTGAGCGAGATCTCCATCCTCGTCATAGAACATGGAGCTGTGTAGAGGAGAGGGGAACAGGCTGGGCTGCAGCCTCACACCTGGTCATGGCACAGGCCACAGACCCCCGGGAAGTGTGCCACCTCCACAAAGGGAGGAGCAACCTTAGGGGAAGGGAAGGAAGGTAACACGCCTGGAGAACCTCTTGCTTAGGGTCTGGGGCTACGAGCAGGAAGTGCTACTGTCAGGCCCCAAGAAGAGAGGCTATACCAGAGCACACTGTCCAGGCAGCCAAGGCTAGTTCTCATCGCTGGTTTGTTCAGCAAGAACAGCCATTCCAGCATCAGGCCCTGGCCGTCACCAGGACTAACAGTGGGCAGGGTGGTGGCTGAGCATGTTGGTCCAGAAGACACCGCTGGCCCAGGGCCAAAGCCTGAGACAGCAGATGCCCGAGCTGGGAGGGAGCCGAAGAGCAAAAAGGCTGCGTCCTGCCCACCAGCCCCAGGTGGCCGGTGCAGCCCAACTGCCACTGCTGGGTCTCCCCAGTGCCTACAGCGACATCTCCAGCATCACCCGCGTGTCAGTCCCCGGGGACACCCGGGCCAGTTCAATCTAATGCTCCCGCTGAACTGAACCCCTGGGGAGAGCGGGAGGTCAGTGCTCCAGACCTGGAGAACATGTCGGGGTGAGGGTCTTTCTTCCTAGGCCCCATCCCCAACACTAGGGCCCAGTCCTGCCTTCTCCCCCCACCCCACCCCTCCCCTCCGAGGTCCAACCTCCCCACTGTGGGAAACCGTCACAGCAAACGAGGGGTCATTCCCCTCAGAAGAATCAGGGAGGGAGGCTAGGAGCCTTCAACTTGCTGGCTGGGCTTAAAGGGGTGAAAGGACGAGGCCCGATCTTAGTTCTCCCTGCGCGAGGCTGTCGGCCCGGGACAAACTCAGGCCCACTTTTCTCCGAGGGAGATCTTAGGAGCAGCAGGCCTCCAGGAGCCGACGGCCGCCTTCCCTCGCTCCAAAAGGGGCCTGAACATGGGAGTCGTCCCAGCTCCGCGCAGGGGATACGGCGGGGGCAGCTAC